ATAAAAATGATTATGATGCACTTTAATTGAATACAGCATGAATTTTATTATAAAGCTGATTACATAGTTGAATATGGCTTGATTTTTTATATAAAAATGATTATGATGCACTTTAATTGAATACAGCATGAATTTTATTATAAAGCTGATTACATAGTTGAATATGGCTTGATTTTTTATATAAAAATGATTATGATGCACTTTAATTGAATACAGCATGAATTTTATTATAAAGCTGATTACATAGTTGAATATGGCTTGATTTTTTATATAAAAATGATTATGATGCACTTTAATTGAATACAGCATGAATTTTATTATAAAGCTGATTACATAGTTGAATATGGTTCGATTTTTTATGTAAAAATGATTATAATGCGCTATAATTAAATACAGCATGAATTTTATTATGAAACTGATTATATAGTCGAATATGGATTGATTTTTTATATAAAAATGATAATGACATACTTTAATTGAATACAGTATGAATTTTATAATGAAGCTGATTACATAGTCGAATATAGGTCAATTTTTATATAAAAATGATTATGACATACTTTAATTGAATACAGCATAAATTTTATTATGAAGCTGATACATAGTCGAATATGGGTTAATTTTTTATGTAAAAATAATTATGACATGCTTTAATTGAATACAGCATGAATTTTATAATGAAGCTAATTACATAGTTAAATATGGTTTGATTTTTTATGTAAAAATAATTATAACACGCTTTAATTGAATACAGCATAAATTTTATTATGAAGCTGATTATATAGTTGAATATAAATTGATTTTTTATGTAAAAATGATTATGACGTGCTTTAATTGAATACAGCATGAATTTTATAAAAAACTAATTACATAGTCGAATATGTGTCAAATTTTTATATAAAAATGAATATGACATGCTTTAATTAAATACAGTATGAATTGTTGAATATGGTTCAATTGTTTCTAATTATGATACGCTTTAATTGAATACAGTATGAATTTTATAATGAAGCTTATAATGAAGCTGGTTACATAGTCGAATATGATTTGATTTTTATATAACAATAATTATGACACACTTTAATTGATACTATTATAAAGTAGAATACAGCATGAATTTTATAATAAAGCTTGTTATATAGTTGCATATGGTTCGATTTTTTATATAAAAATGATATGACAAAATTTTGATTTTAAAATTCAATTCAATTCAATTTCTGAATTTTTGACTAAATTTAGGTCGAATTATTGAAGAAATTGGTATAGTCAAATTTGATTAAAAATCAAATATCAAATTTTTAACTAAATGAGATCAAATTATTAAAAAAATCGATATAGTCGAATTTGATTAAAATCAGATGTTGAATTTTTTGTCTAAATTAGGTCAAATTATTGAAAAAATCAGCATAGTCAAATTTGATTAAAATTCAAGTATCGAATATTTTGACTAAATTAGATCAAATTATTAAAGAAATCGACATAGTCAAATTTGATTAAAATTCAGTTGTTGAATGTTTTGACTAAATTAGGTTGAATTATTGAAGAAATCAGCATTATTGAATTTTATTAAAATTCAATTGTCGAATTTTTGACTAAATTAGATCGAATTATTGAAGAAATCAGCATAATTGAATTTTATTAAAATTCAGATATCAAAATTTTGACTAAATTAAATTGAATTAATGTTGAAGCTACCGAATTTTAAAAAATTCAGTCAATTTGTTGCCGAATATTATTGTAATTCAACTAGATCAAATTCATAGTTTTCGACTAGTGATAATTTTATTAAAACTTAATTATATTTTTTTACAAAAAAATTTACAAAAATAAAACTATACTGTATATGAATTTTATATTCAAAGAATATTAAGAATAAAGATTTAAACAAAATTTTCTGTAGCCTAAACCTATAATAAAATATATTCTTCTTTTTTTAAATCTTAAGATGAGGCCATTTCTCTAACTTTATTAAAACTCAATTGAATCTCTTTACAAGCAAATTTACAAGAAAGAAATTATATATGAATTTTAAATCAAAAGATATCAAGAATAGAGATCTATTCAAAATTTTTTACAGCCTAAACCTTAATAAAATATATTTTTAAATACATATTTTATAAATTTTATTATAAATATTTTAAAATTATTAATAAACTTTTGAATAATAAAATTTTAAAGTTTTTATTTAAAAATTTTTAAGAAAAATTTATATATAGCTGCAGTTATATATAGTCTATACTATATAATATATATATATATTATATAATTATACTATATAATTATTATTTTTTTTTAACTAGCCTTTTTGAAGCTAAAGTTTTTATTCAAGTTATTGAGTGAGAAGCTCACTATGATTTATTATAAAATTTTTAATATAAAATTTTATTTTCTTATCCTCTTTATACAGCACTTAGCCCACATATTCCTGACTTAATAGCCAATTAAAATGCAAACATATCACGTGAAATTCATAATTTTTTTCATGACAAAAAAAAGTAGCACAAAAATAATTATTCCGAATTAGTCACGACAAAAATTAAAAAAATGGAAAAATACAAAAAAAAATATCTATCTGAATCTATGTCGGAGCACTAATTAAAAGTGTTGAGAAGGCAATTTTACCTATAATACCTTACTTACCCAAACCCATTTAACTGAGACCAGAGATAGATGTAAACTTAGGCTGTCCCGTATTGTATATATTTTTGTTAATCACTATAAGATAAAGGGGATATTATGGAGTGATAAAATTTATTTTATTTAAATTCTATAGCGAATACAAGTTGTGTTTGCATAACATTTATTAATGTCAAATAAAGTGGTGGACCGACCGATCGGCGTACGTACGTACGTACGTAAAATTAATCTATTCGCTTTATATGGTTAAAAAGATTATTATATGGTTATTTGAGAAACGAATGTTTTTATATCTTCGATTCATTTTAGTGAGGCTCCCATTCGATAAAACCCATATTACTTCGATATTATGTGATCTGCTACCTTACCCACTCCGCCACATTACCCTCTTTTACCTTATATTATAAAATTCATTAATAAGTCAATATTAGCATATTAAGAAAGTTATTCAGAAGATCAAAAAATGTATTTCTAAAAGCTTGATACGAATTAACTTTTATTAAATAATATGTTTTATATTTTGTCTTACAAAATATTGAGAACCAGGTTTTAAAATTTGGTTCTGAACCAAGCCAAATTTAACATGGGTTTGGAACTTGTTATATGAAAACCTGGTTCTTAGGTTTTTCATTTGAACCTATAGGTTTTAGGGCATAAACCAACTTTACCATCTCTATTTTGGTGTAGGAGACATATTAATAAATTCACTCAGTGAGAATGCCGAGTTTGGCGTCGATAAATCCATTGCCGAACGAATTTGATGTGGTGGGGTTCTCGGAGGATCAAGGTCAGTAGTTGTTAAAGGAACCCTTGCCGAAGATGAAGTAAGAGAGGCGAGTGTGGGAACATTTGACGATAATCTTGAAGGTGTATGTGGTGGAGAAGATGCCAAAGGAGATGATGGCAAATTCGGCAAATGAGAAAGTATTGCATTAGGAAAATTAGAATCAACAGCTGCCCAATCATCTAATGCAGCTCGGAAAATAGTGCCGGGGGACATCGCTAATGTTTGGGTAGATTCGGCAGTGCTATCCTTTGGTGTTCTTTCGTCGTCATCGTCTTCATAAGTGCTTGCAGCCAGAAGTTCATCAAGAAATGTATCAGGCGACATGGAAGTTGCAAGTGTTGATTCTGCTCCGGCATTATCTTTCCGTGTAACGCTTGAAGTTGCCCAAAGTTCATTGAATAATTGTCCTGGAGACATGGACGTCGAAGCTGTCTTTTGTGGAGCAACTGTGCTTGCAGTTGCCCAAAGTTCATGAAATAAAGTATTTGGTGACACTGTAGCTTTTTGTGAAGCTAAAGAATTTTCGCTAATTGTTTGCTTTGAATTCATAGTATGTAGGCTACTTTCTGTAGCACCAAAAAAGTCCTCCATATCAACATCTTCATTTATTGAATGTACAGTCGGTTTTGGGCGTTTATTCTTTCCTTTTCTGGTATTCATGGTAATCGATTTTCTCTTTTTTGTTTTCTTTTTTTTAGTATTTTCCTCCAAAGCCTTTAAAATAACTTCCGAAACCACCGGATTTCGGGTTATCACGTGACTATCCGCGTGACTTGGTTCGGGGATCTTGGAGGTGAGTGGGATCAAAACAGGAGGCTGATGCAATAATCCTATGCTTGATTCCGTTTGATTTGACATCGAAAGAGGCTCATGAATTGATTGTCTGATGAGTGGATCAATTTTATCATTAGTTTTGTAAGATCTGCTTCGTTTGTGCCTCGAAGATTGGTCTCGTGATTTTTTAGATTTACTAGTGGTTAATTTGCTTGGTTCAATAGATCTTAATGATCCTGTCTCCAAAAAAGATTGTCCCAAATCTTGTGCACAGAAATTATTTGATCCAATAAATTGCGAGTTTGATAGTAAAGATGACATCGGATCTTGGTTAATGCATAGATCTTGCGATGCCATTTCTAGTGAATCTAAATATTCATATATTGCGGCAGCTTTCGATCCAGAAAGTCTGGATGAGCCGGATAATCGAAAAGAGTCTTGCATACGCTGGTGAGGAAGTGCATCGTCTGCGATATCAAATTTAGTATCCATTGCCGTTGATTTTGGTGACGTGTTTGTAACCTTAACTTTATTTCCTGGTCCATTACTGTATTCCATATATTGTGGAGCCACTGGCAATTCATATTCACGAGTTGGTAAGCCGCTTTTAATCCTTCCTAATATCTTCGGAACGGGAATCGCATTTATGCGCATTTTTTCTTCAAACAAAATTTCACAAGTCGCGACATCGTATTTCTCCCATCCATTTTTGATTTTAAATGTTGCATACTCTAAGCCAAGTCGTATTCGTTTTGCGACCTGATTTGATGATCAATCTGTTAATTATCTAGATTTGTTATCCTAAATCAAATGATACTTTGTTTTTCTATTAACCATGACTTGAAATAAGCGAATGTTTCATCAATTCTTTTTGCTTTGATGAACTTCTACGTGGTTGAAAATTGCGTATTTACCTCTACAATATCGATGTCTTTTCGCGTATATTCGCCAAGCGGATCATTTTTAAGCTGTTCGATAAGTGCTTCTAGGTCTTTATCCTCATTAATTTCTTTGTCGGCTATTTTCGAAAAGTCCTGCTTTCAAACATTTTATAATCACTGTTTACTATGATAAATAGGCTACCCATTTTTTCTCGAAAAAAATTATTTTACGTGCCCTACCTCTAACATGGTTAAATCTAAGTGTTAATAGATTGCTGCAAGGTATTATTTAAACTCACACAATAATATTGAACACCTTAGGAGAAATTTGATTTACGACAACTTAAGCGCGTCTCCTCGAAATAAAGGATAGATTCTACTTATAAATAAATCGAAAATTATGCCCGTATAAATGGTAGGACATTGGTAGGACGAAATAAAGATAATGGGAACATATGGTGTAACTGGTAATCACCAAAACAGAAACATAACACGCGTTATGCTCACTACAGCAATCTGCATAGTGCAGACCATGAGTTTCTTTACCATACTGTTTAACATTAATTACGATAATCTTTTTTTGTTAAAAGCAACGATTTTTTTTTTGCTCGAATTATACGAATTATACGAATTATTCAATTTTTTTTACTATTATTTTGATTCAACTTTATAGTTCAATTACACTATTAGATTGAATGTTATATTATGTATTCAGGATAATACTGTAATAAATTTTAAAATATATATTATAAAACATCGTTTTTGGCCGGTGAAGTATCAAAGGAATAAAATTATAATGATAAGCCAAATTGCAGATTATCTGGTTTTTACCTGTTAAGTTAAGCAAATGATTTGCTATCACTATCCAATATGTCAAATTGTCTAATTAAATTATTTCGTTGTCTTTATAAAGTATTTTTTTATTTTGAACTAAAACAGTTGTGCTGGTGTGGCTTATATTTTTATTTTCAAATCAACTTGTTTTTTTTTAAAATATAAACTAGCTTATAAATCATCTCCCAGTATTTTCACGTATTATAAACATAAATTTTAGTATTTTTTTCTAGTGCTCATATATGATAAAATCTATTTAATCTTATTTCTATTATGGTAACTAATATCAAAAATCTGTATAAATTAACTTTAATTAATTCTAATTATAATTTATATACTTATAATAAAGATAGAATTATATGAGAATTTTTAGATTAGAATATAACAAAATTTTAGTTGTTTAAACAAAATTGATTAATTGTATTAAAAATTTTATTAAATAAAAAAAAATATATACTAGCTATATACTTCTTTTGCTATAAATCAGATTTCTAGTATTGCTTGAGATTTTTCTATAAAAATATAAGGGCTTTTTAATAGAAAGAAGGGAGATTTCTTTCAAGTAAAAGTTTTTTAAACTTTTAATTAAAATATTTTAACAACTATTAAACTAAATTTAATATTTTTTTTTATTTTAATTCTATAAAATTATAAAATTAAAAAAAAAATTTATTAAATTTATTTTTTTTTTGGTGTTCAGATGGGATCTTGCCTATGATTTTATTTATTGTTAATATTTTCATTATATATATTATTATATTTTCATATTTACATATATCAAATATATTAAGTTTAGACTCTGATCCTATTGGTAATTTACACTCTAGCCAAAATCATCACTTGCATGATAAGTATCTCTATCTACTATCTGATTACTGATCCAATTATTTGTAAGGTTAATCTTTAATATAGGTAGGTATATATAATTATTATACAATTATAATATATATATAATTTAACTATTTTGAATTAATTTAAATAATTTTATAAATTATTAGGGTTAAAGTTAAGGTTAGGGTTTAAATTAGCTCAAATTAGTTAGGTTTTATATATTATAATTTTATAATAATTTATATATACTGTAATATTAACAAATTTTTATTAACATTTGTCTTATAATTTTCCTTAAATTTTATTATATATTTTATATATTTATTATATATTTTATTATTTTATTAGTTTATTTACATAGTTTATAATA